AGTAGCCAGCCAGGAAATGTGCAACAGAGTAAGGCAATCTGAACCTTAGTCATATCCGATGTTACTTACAGTTTTCTAGATCATCATTTCACCTAGAAATATATGGCAACCCAGGCCAAAGCACAGAAGTTACGTACTCACTTTGACCTAGCCAGGTTAATTAACATTGCTATCTTCTCTACTACCTGGAGCTCCTGAAAGCTCTTTATTAAGCATAATGCATTACAATAATCCAATTTAGAGGTGATAAAAATTACTGTTCTTCTGCCAAGGCATCTACTGAACTGAAAACTGCCATTCCCAAAGTAAGGGTCACAACCTTCAGTGGGACTGCAAGCCAGACAGAAAAGTAACCATTTGTGCTAGTGTTATAGGCCTGACAGAAGCGGGACTTTTAGTAGGTCTCACTACACTCTTCTGAGCAGGGGTGACTTCTGATTCTGTTCTTGTGCTCCAAATTCTGTCCTTTCTCCAGTCCCTGTTTTGGGCTCTAGAAAAGCTTTATTTAGGAGGATGAAAAAAACTGTTATTTTCAAATACAATCTATTGATCTCAGTTTCTGAATCTGCTGAATTTTAAATCAGATGATTAGTATCTCTTTCTGATAAATATGGGAAGTATTAGGGAAAAAATGGTAGGATCCTAATTGGTTTGCAGTGATTGATTTAGACAACACATTCATATATAACAAAAGAAAAAAAGAACAAGAGAATGCAGAAGTCTTCAGAACATAAACTATCCATTTCATCCAGTTACCAGAACATTTTCATGGTACGTAATTATTAACAGCAAGACAACTGCTGGTGAAGAACTTAGTGTCGAAGTAAATTCCTTAGCCTGCTCCCTGCTTTCTCGTGCTGGAATTCTCAGTGCATTTCCAAGTTAAACAAAGCTGTTCCCCCTTTCATTCTGAACAGTGTGTTAGGGAGATGGTATTTGGTGGCAAATAATGAATCCTTCCTTCTCTCTTTTTATCTTTTACTTCTCTATTCAGTGTCCATGTCATAGGGTACAAGGACAGTTAACATCATTTACCATTTCAATTTTTAGAAATTAACTTCAATAGTATTGGAGTTTAGATGTTCCTCTATTTAAATAGGCAATAAAATTGTCCATTATAACACTAGATATTATAAAGTAAAATATAAATTAAATGACAGTCCTGGAACGCAAAGACCTTTGACTGCAAATGTAGATTCAGTGAGGTCTCTGTGATGTACATGCAGTTAAGCTTACACTGTCCCTGAAAAAAGTTACAAGTCCTAAAGACAGTTTCAGCATAATTCAAGTATTATCCTACTTTCCTCTTAAGACGACCTCCTAGCAATGTTTTGTCATATACTAGATTCTTAATCACTGTTAATTCACTATTTTTCTTTTTCAGTAAAAAACAGCTGTCTGTGTTACGCAACGTTACTATGTAGATGGTGGGTTGTTTTTTCTAGTCCTATTTTGAGAAAATACATCTGAGTAAAACTACATTTTTGGTGATGCTAAGTCTTCCCCCAGCAGCTAACATTTCATCTAAATTTATGTGACTTGACTGCACGCTTTATATTTTTGGCAGATGGAGGAATGATTTTCTTCACATTTTTCATACTGTGAAGAATTTACAGAAGCTAGTTTAGCAATAGCAAGCGGAGGAGTCTTTGATTTGTTTACCTAACATATGTGTCACATATAAAAGGCAATGTCCTTCCACTGTAGATGTTAATAATTAGGGCTGTTCCGAATGGATTTGTGCCAACACAAAATCCACCACCACAATTAGCGGTAATAGGAACTTGAGCTGGCAGCAGCAGTAGAGGCAGTAAGAATTAAATGACTATGTAAACTGTCCCCCCCCCCAAATTAAAACTGTTGTACGCTGACAAAAACTGAGAAAACTCACACCACTGTTACCTCTGCCACTCTTTTCTGGTAATAAACACAAAATACTGCTATCTGGAACTCCCAGTGTTTTTCTTGACATAGATTCACACCCGTTAATGGCAAGAATCTGAGTATCCATTCCAATAAAACATCTCAAATTACAAAAACCTATGGATAACTTCCAAATACTTAAAGATATAAATAACCCTTTGAAGAAACGGAGTTGATTTTTGGAGACATTTGACAGATAAGTGTCTGTAACTGACTTCTCGTTGGTGCTATGCACGTACTTCCAAAAAGCGTGCTTGGAGGTTCCACTAAATAACATCTAAAAATGTAAGGCTTTTCTGGGTAGAAAAGCTTCCAGGAGCTACAAAATCTCTTCAAAGTAGTACTCATGGTAATACTTCCACAGCATAGAATATGATCTTGATCTAGAGCAGGTTATTATTAGAGCTGCCATAAATATGAACCCTCCCCTTACTGATGAACCATGGCTGAATTATGCTCATCACTGTATAAACAAATGAAAAGAGTAGAATAATGATTGTCATAAGTATTTTATTGTTCAATATTTATTAGAAAATACATTATAGATCAACCCAAGTTTCTTTAGAGTGACTCACAGTTTGTCTCATAGTGTCCTGTATGACATTGAAAACACAAATTATTTTCCATAGTTTCAAATAATCTCTAGCAATGTGCTAGAGCACATCATGAACATTTCAGGCTTAAGATTTGTCCAAACCTAGTCTTTTGATTTCACAAACACAGAAGAACATCTGATTGTAGGTCAGCTGTTAACCATGACCTTGAAGAGGCTTTGCAGCTGCATTTGTGTTGCTGCATCAAGAGTGATGCATCTTTGTGACACTCAGCACTTTGTGAAAAGCTGCATCTTAAACTCTGGGCTTGCATTACATTCCTTATATTTATTATGGACAGAATTCAGCAGTTAAATCTTGCATATCACATCAAACACATCAGTCCTTTATTGGCCATTCTGAAAGCATTATGCAAACAAAAGACAAAAGCTTTGCAAACACGCAGGGAATGATGCTGTAGTTTTGTCACTAACCTCAGCATGAGCATGAATAGATTTGTGCCACATTTATGCATATGAATTTGGACATTTTTGCTGCAGATTTTTCTGCACCAGAACATTGCTTTTGTGTTAACATTCAGAGCTTCAGTGTAAATGGATGCCTTGTACCGTACTCTGACAGTGGTTAGATGTCCTACTGAGAATAGTTTGTCAGGAATCAACACTGGTGAAAAAAAGGCAAATTCAGTTAAGATGTATCATCAGGTAAGCGGAACCTTTGGCAGTGGGACAGAGCTATTCCTTTTAGACTGCACCCAGGACACAAAGTAAACACCTCTCTTTATAAGAAAACGGATGTGACCTGTGTAACAGCAACACATGCTAAAAGGATTGGCTGTGCATCCAACCAAACAGCTCCACCAGCAGCACGTCACTAGTTCTACAGACTCAAAGCAAAGAGCGTTACCTACACAAATCTGATGCAGTTTCCCACAGTGCTAGCTGTTCCCTGATGAGCGCCCAAGCACTGGCCTAGCTGGGGGAAGAGCAGTTTGCTCAAGCTCATGAAAACCTGCTGTAAGGTAGGAGAGATGATGCTATAGATCTGTTATGGGAAAGATCAGCCACTATAAAATCGTGGGCAAAAAGTGTTCCCGAGCAGCTTGAACAATCTCTCTCAACAGCTAGACTCAGCCGTGGAGATTAGAGAGACACAGGAGCGTATGTTTTATTGACTATGGGACGTGAGTTTCTGGAAGAATTTGAAGAGAATGTATCCTAAGAAGAGGAATTTACAAAGCAAGTGGAGGAAGTCCAAGTGTTTCACTGAGTCATAATTGCTAGCTAAGCATTTCAACTTCATGAAGAGCAAACAGGGAAAAATTATGGAAATGCATTAATTTTAACTAAGCAAAGCGAATATGAAAACCATAACTGCACTGAAGGCCACAATACATACTGGAGTCTCTACCTCCACTTCTTTCAAACAGCCTTGCCAAGCTGGTTTGCTCTTCTTTAAAGGAAACCACTGAAATGTATCTACAGACTTGTAAGTGGATGAGAGAATTATACTGCCATTAGAAGAGGAAGAAGAAAAAAAGGCCATTTGCTTATTGACTCTAACACATAACCTTCAAGACAGGAGAGGACTTAAGAATGAGAACACTATAGCTTTCAATTCAATCAACATAACTAGACATACGACTTCTATCTAACTAAAGGCATTATACAGAGGCCTGTTCCTGCCAGAGTTGACATGAGAACCAGGCTGAAGATAAACAGCAAAAAAAAGGTCAGGCTCCTGCTCTGCTTCCTGATACAAGATGTCATAGTAGAATATCCATAAAGGTAATAAAAGTAGCATCTACCTCTAGAAAGCTATCTAGAAAGGAAGGGACACAATATTCCTGATTCATTTCATTACAGAAATTTATCATATGTAAATCTGCATAGATCAACTGAAGTCTGTGCAAAATTTTTTGTACAGTGGAGAAAAGGCCAGTATAAAAATACTGCTCTCCTTTATCCATGCTATGAGAAAAAGCACAGTTTATTATAACAGGAAATAATACTTTATTATAAAATCTGCCTGTAAACAAGTAACAAATTAATTGAATAACAGTTAATGGAAGTGCAAATCAACTTCATAAAATGATATTTATTCTGTATTTAAATCTTTCTATATATAATTTGCTTTCTCCCATTCTAATGTGATTATACTCCCCCCACCCCACATTTAATTTTAAAAAGATTCATCATTGCTTGCTTTATACTAAAAAAAGTGTACGAGCCTGCGTACATTTTTCAAATTTTGCTCTGCAAACGAGAAAAGTCTGTGGCAATACTTCATTTTCTATCATCATCCTTTCTTATCTTTGCATCTCTGGTATCCACAGGACAAGAGGACAAATAATATATGTACACAGTGAAGTGTAGGCATGTGAAGCCACTTATTAGTTAGTTCATTTACTTGCACATACTGAAACTTAAACCATTTATCAAAGAAGCAGACACTGTAATGCAGCTTCCGGTCTTGCTTGTGCACCGTAAGGCATTAAAGAGAGTCTCAACTGATAGTTATTCTTTTTATCACCATGAGGATCATCCATACACACTTCTCAAGAGTCAATTGCTTGTTCAGCAGCCACGTGCAACATCTGGCTTTGCTGAAAGCTTCTAAAGCACAGATAAGTCATGGCAAGATTTTGATTTTGCTTTGAAAGCCATCTTCTTGTTGTTCTTTGCTACAATTCTCCCAAGGAATCGCTTTGCCTTTTTGCCTATGCTTTCTCTTCTTTTTGTGTTGGCCATTCTCCTAGCGTTGTCTTCTTTACTGTCTTTGCGAAGTCTAATTTGCCGAACAATACCTTCAAACAGGTCCTTGACATTATGGTGAAGAGCAGCTGAGGTCTCAATGAACTTGCAGTCAAATACCACAGCACAGGCCCGTCCCTCTGGATTAAAAGAGAAAAAGGGATGTGAGCGGAAACTGACATTTTCTATTCATTTATACTGGCAGAGGAGACTGAAATTTGACTTAAAAGTAATGAGAGTGCTTTTAATGCCACAAGAGAGCTTTATTATATGCTAGGAAGGCACATATTTGCAGTGATGGTTTTGACCCTTCATTTTGCAAGGTTTTGTTGTGGTATTGTCAGAAATATCACTTGATTATTGGTACTGAATAAAAGGCAACAATAGTTCTATAGGCAGATTGTCTCACTATTATTTAAGATTTGTGTCAGCTATAAGAGAGGGATTTGGGTGTATACTTGCTGTCTGACAGGAAAGACAATGTGAGGTACTGAGAGAAAAACTAGTTCTTATTTCTTCTGGAAGTTGTTGAGCAGTTATGCACCTCCACCTTGCTGTAACAAGTGGGAGTTTTCCAGGACAGTTCCAAATGCAGTGCGATACAGTCCAAAAGCTCCAGTCATTAAACGGATCACTAGAGGTCATAAAGTTGTGTGATCACTGGATTTAATTAGGACTGCATTCAAAATAGAAGATGCTCAGTGTCCGATGTCCCAGAGGTAAGCGTGTAACTCTGGAACACTGCCGAAGTGCAAATTACCATGATCAACTTGTGGTAAATAACGACAGAGTTACAAATCTGAACAAAGTAATGGCATCACCACTAGGACAGGTCAACCATGCACTGCCACCAGCCTGAAAAGTGACGATCTCGTGATCAGCTCTAATCAGTTCCCTGTATAGACTACTGGGCATTTAACACAGGGGACACAGCAGAACCAGACAGCAGCTGTTCTTGCATCAAGGCAAGATATTTCATAGTATTCTTCCCAGTGAAGAAAACGCCCAAATTTTTAAATAAGTGAAATTAACACTGTGCCGTTCGTACTGGTTACTGTACTCTAGTAACAGAAATGCACTAGCTGAGAAGTGAACTAGCTGAGAAAAATCTGACCACAGCTGTAGAACAGGTACAGAAAGACTTCAGGTTGTGCGAGCCTGGTCCCGTTAGCTCAACTGTAATGGAATCACTTCCAATAGAAAGAGTATTGTACCTCTCTGGGGGGGTCATTCTTTTAAAAAGACCGCCAGCTGACTTGATAGGTCTTATGTTATGACTCTCCTGTCCCTTAAACATAGCTGAGACTACCATATCTCGATACTAGCAAGTGCTAGTGCACATGTAACATAATTAAACTTTTGCTGTTGATATTGGCCCAGAATAAATCCTACACAGAGTAATATGCTAAAGCTGCAGCTCTGAGGCATTCTTTCTCTTGCACTGCAGTTCAGAGCATTACTCTACACAATCAGAAATCCTCTTCTGCCACCATCTCCATCACTTTTCTCTGTTGTACAAAGTCCCTCAGCATGGACTTGTTGGCTTGATTTCTCAGGTGTACCTCAAATCACATTTTTCTACATCAAAACTGGACCAGTTCTACTGGCTCAGGATCCTCTGCAGCCTTTGCTGCTAATTTAAATATTACTTTACAATTAAATAGTGTCTCTTACCATCAACTGAGACCTCCCGGGATCTGACCAGGTCACTCTTATTGCCTACAAGAATAATAGGAATGTCTTCTGTTTGTCTTGCTCTTCTTAGCTGGATTCTAAGCTCAGAAGCCTTTTCAAAACTAACTTTATCCGTCACTGAATATACAATAATATAGGCATCTCCCATCTTCATACAGTGATTCTGTAGCCATTGACTATCATCCTAAAACAGAGAGCAAAAGAATATATTTATTGCATTGCAAATCTATTAAGCATGTCTAAATAATGATTTAATTATTGCAAGCACCATAAAGATATTTTTCTTAGCTTTACTATAAAGAGTAACTAAAAATAAGCCAACTTCCCCAAAGCGTTCTTAAGAATTTCCTGATTTGAACATATATTACAAAACAATTCTCTTGTTTCCAGAAACATTGTCAGGTCTGGCAGAGATCAGAGCATGACCCTCTCATCTGACAAGCGCTTCTTGGGCTGCTCACAAGAGCGGCTGCTTACTCAAAGCAATAAGAGGTTCACCCTCAGGGTTTGAAATCGCCTGCCTAACTGCAAGTCGATTGCAAGTGAATGAACAAACACAGAACAAATCCTGCATTTAACGTTACCATTTTCAATGTTACCAGTCTGATGCAACAGATGACCGGACACAGTCGTTCCATTTCTGCATCTTTTTGGGGTGAATCAAAAGAAAGTCTTAAAGCCCGCAAGTACCTGCTCCCATATGTCAAACACCACCAGAGACGCTTCTTCTCCGTCGACGACGAGCGATCTGTCGTACGTGTTTCCTAGAGGAGAGGACGTTCAGCACCGAGCTGCCCCCGCCGCCGCCGCCGCCGCCCACCCCGGGC